ATAAGTTATATCTAATATATATGCATTAAATATGATGACTTAAAATTTTTTAAATAAGGAAAAAGCAGTAGAAAGTGTTATAGAAGCACAGAGAAAGGAGTTGGTTACTTCTTCCTAGAAGAAGAGGAAAAGATAAGGAGAATTTCATTTAGTAGGTGTGTCAGGGATCCCCATGATCACCCAGGTTTGATGACTGACTCAAGGACTTATAGGATTCAGTATCAGTTGCACTTATGGTTATGATACATTACAGCCAAAAAATACAAAGCAAAATCAACAAAGAATATCAAGTGTACAAGACAAGATAGTGTAAGGGCATTAAATGCAGTATGAACAGGGATCCCTGGGTGGCTCAGCGGTTTGGCGCCTGCCTTTGGCCGGGGGTGTGATCCTGGAGTCCCGCGACAGGCTCCCCGCATGGAGCCTGCTTCTCTCTCTGCCTGTGTCTCTGTCTCTGTCTGTCTGTCTGTCTCTCTCTCTATGTCTATCATGAATAAATAAATAAATCTTTTCTTAAAAAATGCAGTATGAACAGTACATGCACAGGCAAAGAGCTATGAAAGGATGCCCCAGCCAGGAAACAACCCACACGGCTGAAAAGTTCTCAGTATGGCTGTAACACAAGGTGCTTGCGAGAGTATCAGAAGAAGGGAATGGATAGGGCACTAGGTGGCTCTGTCAGTTAAGTATCTCCCCTTAACTCTGGTCATGATCTCAGGGTCCTGGGATCAAGCCCTATGTCCAGCTCCCTGATCAGTAGGGAGTCTGCTTTTCCCTCTCCCCTGCCCCTCTCCTTCTGTTCCTTCCAATCTCCTCTGACCCTCCCCTCCCCCTGCTTGTGCTCTTTCTCTCTCTCAAATAAATAAATAAAATGAAGAAGAAGAAGAAGAAGAAGAAGAAGAAGGAGGAGGAGGAGGAGGAGGAGGAGGAGGAGGAGGAGGAGGAGGAAAAGGAGGAGGAGGGAGTGGAGGAGGAGGAGGGAGTGGAGAAGGAAGGAGTCAGACTTTACAATGGGCCTCTTATTCCACAGTAGGACATTTTAACTTTCTCCTATGAGCAATAGGAAAACATTAAGTATTGTTGGTAAGGAAGTATAGTACAGTGCCTGGATGTAATAGGCAGCTTATATTCTCCAAAAATTAAGATGTTGAAGTCCTAACCCCCAATGTGATGCTATTAGGAGGTAGGGCTTTGGGAACTGATTGGGTGCCTTATGAAAGAGACCCTAGGGAACTCTCTCACCCCTTCTGCCACGTTAGGATAGAGGGAGAAGATGGCTATCTATAAATCAGGAAGACAGCTCCCACCAGACACCAGATCTGCCAGGACATTGATCTTGGACCTTCAAGCCTCCAGAACTGCAAGAAATAAACTGATATTTAAGCCATTTGGGCTATGGTATTTTGTTACAGTTCAAGTGGACAAAAATACTGACATAGTATATAGTAGGCCCCAAATAAAGTCTGTTGATTTGATATTACTATGCCGGTTGAAGATCTATATCAATTTCTTAGCAATCTGTCAGTAGAGATGACAGAGCTTCACTGTATCATTTAAAGCCACCCTAGGGGTGCCTGGCTGGCTCAGTCAGTTAAGCCTTTGGCTCAGGTCATGATCCCAGGGTCTGAGATCCAGCCCCACCTCAGGATCTCAGCTCAGCGGGGAGCCTGCTGATCCCTCTCCCTGCCACTCCCCCTGCTTGTACTCTCTCTCTCTGTCAAATAAATAAAATCTTTTTTAAAATTAAAATTAATAAAAAAATTAAATTAAAAATAAACTAATTCACTCTGATCCATAGTCAAATACACAATTAATTGAAATAGGTTCTAAAAATTATGGGATCTAAAACTCTAGATCTAGAAAAGTAGGGTTTAGGTTCATGGAGATGGAGACTAGAACCTAATATTAGTTTGTAAAATTATCAGAAAAATATAGTTTTCAGAATAGACTGGTAACAGCTACCATTTATTTTGTGCTAGGCAATGTGGTAAGTAGTTTATGGAAATTATTTTGTTTTATCTTTACAACCACCTTTAAAGCAGATGTCATTTCCTCATTTTACAGATGAAGAAGCTAATTTACAACCACCTTTAAAGCAGATGTCATTTCCTCATTTTACAGATGAAGAAGCTAATTTACAAATATTAAATGATTTACCTAATATTGCATAGATCAAGACTGCAGAATGGAGCTGTTGATATGAAGCTGAGTATCTCATGGCTTTAACTGATGGCCTGTTTATATCTCAGAGATTATTGGAGTTAATCCCAATCCTGTTGGCTCAGACATTGTCAGAGTACAAGACATCATGGCCATCCATTGTACCTCACATGGCTCTGAACATCCACCCCTCCTGTCCCAAGGGGGAGCTCAGCAGGGCCTGGAATAGTTGGGAGACCCAGGACCACCAGTGGGGTAATGAGAAAAGCTGCCTTATCTGTTTAGTCTAACTTGCCATACAGATATGCTCATTTTCTAAGTGGGCTGTGACATGGAAAAAGTTGGAAAGCTCTACTTGAATCTAATTCTCCTCCTTTCCCTTCTAAAAACCATCTGGAAATCCCAAACCAGTAATCAACAAACACCCCTACATCTTCAATCTGTTCTTGGAAAGTCACTGATTTAAAATTTGGCAAGTCCTGGGATCCCTGGGTGGCGCAGCGATTTGGCGCCTGCCTTTGGCCCAGGGCGCGATCCTGGAGACCCGGGATCGAATCCCACGTCGGGCTCCCAGTGCATGGAGCCTGCTTCTCCCTCTGCCTATGTCTCTGCCTCTCTCTCTCTCTCTCTCTCTCTCTCTCTCTCTCTGTGACTATCATAAATAAATAAAAAAATAAAAAAAAATTAAAAAAAAAATAAAAAATAAAAAATAAAATTTGGCAAGTCCTGAAGACAATGCTTCCCTGCAGCTTTGAAGATACTATAAAATGACCCATCCTGAGCCATGTACTAGGATTGCAGCAAAGATAGGGGGGCGGATGTCATCATCACCCCCCTCTTCCCCCAGCCAACGTCAGCATAGCTTTGTCACTGTTTTCCTCAAGAACAAACCCTGCTGTTCGGACCAATTTCAGATTCTGAGTCAAATAATGTTTGTACACATCCTGTTAGTAAAACTTAATTTATGGTCACTTCTAACAACTGGAGATGTGTTCACAGAGCTGAGAAGTAGAAAGCCTCATGGTAGTGTTCACTAGAGAATAAATCTAAATTGTTTTGAGCATCTAATCAGATTGAGAGTGAGGGGAAAGGGACTATTTTTTGCTCCATTTTGTCAAATATACATGCTTGAATTCTGGGAATTTTACAAAAATGTCCTTCATACCTTTGGATTTCTAGCTGAATAACTCTGCTATGGAAATGTGGGCAACTAGAAACTTTCTATGAGATAAATAAGTAATGTATAGTCATTGTTTTTTAGGCTAGTCATCTGGTATTGGCAAAAGGACACAGATTTGCAGCCTGAGGACTGGTGTTCAAGCATAAGCTCTAATATTAAGTAGCTGTGTGACCCTGATAAAACCCTTACCTCTCCAAGTCTGTTTCTTTATTGTCGAATAAGAAAGAATCCTTCATAGGAGAACTACCCTGGGGGATTAAATGTTAAAGGTGCTTTGTAAACTATAACACTACATAATTATCAACCATCTATTGCATTGTAATAGATGAGTCAGGCATGAGGTCTGACACAGAGCTGATGCACAATATTTATAGTATAAATAAGTAAACCCCACTGGTGAGCTGGGTGATCTCAGGCAAGAAACATCTCAGTTTCTCTCTTTTGCCTTCTCTGATAACCACCTCCCCCTAGTTCATTCATTGGGCTCCAGACATAAAGTCCTTTTTCCTGTTCTTCCAGCAGAGCAAGCTCACCCCTGCCGCAGGTCCTTTGGACCTGCTGTTCCCTCTTCCTGAAACATTCTTCCCCAGCTCTTTGCATGACTTTCCACTTCTCATCAATCCAGTCTTAGATAAAATGTCATTTATTCAGAGGCTTTATTATTCAGTGAGTAATATTCCTTCCACATCATTCACCCAATATATATTCCTGTTTTATTTTCTCCTTAGCACTTATTACTATCTGTTGACTTATTACACTCTCCTCCACTAGAAAAAAAAAAAAAAACACTATACTAGAGCTTCCCTGTCCACAACTGTATTCCAATGCCCAAGATAACATCTAACTCATAGTAAACTCTCAATAAGCATTTGAATAAATGAAGTTGAAATATGATAATTATATTATAAGTTTCATTTTCATTCATTCAACAAATATTTTGTATGTACCTATGAAAGCCCAGGTTCTATTTCAAGATGCTGGGGATTCAACTGAGAACAAAATAGACAAAAATCTCTTTCTTGGGTATGACTACTAGTGGGGAAACAAAGAAAAACAAGGTTAAAAAGTAAAAACATACTATATCTGATAATGTTAAGTGTTAAGAAGGAAAAAAATAATAAAGCAGGAAAGAAGGACATGAAATATGTGTGGAGGTGTTAAATTTTAGATAGAGTAATCAGAGAATGAAATGAGAGGCTGAGCCCTGAGGATATATGGGGGAAATGCATTCCAGGTCATGGTAACTGGCACAGTAATGAAGGTGTTGGAGAGTAGTAACACAATAAAGGATGAGACAGGAAGGTTAGGGGAGTTGGACTGTATAGAGCCCTTTGGCTAGACTAAGGACTTTGGCTTTTACCAAGAGCGAGATGGTAAACTGTTGAAGAATAGGAGCATCAGGGTATCATGATGCGGCTTGTTTTAAGAGGATTGCTGGGGCTGCTGGGCTTCGAATACCTGAAGGGCAAGGGAAAGGACCAGTGAAGACGCTACAATAACCTTGGCAAGAGATGATGGCTCCCCAGGACTCGGGGAGGAGGAGTTGTGGGGATGGAAGATGAAATTTTGGATCTGACAGTCACATTGGGAGAGTTTAAGGGGGAGGTCGGCTCTGGGAGTTAGAACTTGAAACTCAAATGTTATTATTTATTATCAGCAGTAAACCAATCATGAAGATGGAGTCCTGGCTCTACCACATCCTGGTAGCAAACTGCTGAGTCGACTCTTTCTAGGTTCTGGGCCTCAGTTTCCCTAAGAGTAAAACGGAGAAAGTGTTCCCACATAACAAGGGCCTTCAAGAGAATGAAATGAGAAGTGTTGAAGGCTGACAGTGAGCAAGGTGAAAACCTTTGGCTTAAGACTGCACGAACCTGTACCAGAGTGAGGGTGCTGCTGTTAAACCAGAGACTGACTTTCAATTCCACAGCACAGACTCCGAGAACCCCCGGCAGCGACCAAATAGAGGCGTGTGGGCCCGGTACCGCAAGGCGGTCCGCAGAGCCCAAACCTCGCGAGATTTGTTGGCCGGGCAACGTCCCACATCTCGCGAGACCAAGGTTTATGAGCGACTATCGGCCGGTTAGGGCTTGCTGGAAAGATGGAGTATCGCGGGTTGGGCACCGTAGAGGCCGCAGACAGTGGAGGGGCCCGGCCATACAACAGCTCCGAGGAACGAGAAGGACGGGAACCGGACGGGCTGCGCTTCGACCGCGAGAGGGCGCGCCGCCTCTGGGAAGCAGTGTCCGGGGCCCAACCAGTGGGGAGGGAGGAAGGTGAGTCCGGGGACCTCAGAGGCAGCGAGTCCAACCGCCTGCTCATTTCACGGGGAGTGGCGGGAGCGCAGGGCGGGAGCGCGGGGCGGGAGCACGGACAGCCCCCGGGTCTCCGGTCACACCCCCTGGCGCCCGGCCCGCCCCCTTGCGTGACGCGCTCCGGGACTCCTTGACTCGTGCACCCCAGCAGGGCCTGGGTACCATGGGCCAGGTACCCCGAAAATTGAGGCCGCAGCACCACATGAATGAGGTCTCCGGGCTTAAATGGTCAAGGCCCTTCTCGTACTCCGGTCCCTCCATTCTCACCCACCAGAGCGCAGCTCTTCTTAAACTCTTCTTAAACGACTTTCATTCCTATGCAACCCTTCTCGGAGACCCACGGAGCCTTCCTCGCCAGACTACTAGCCCCCCACCATTTCTCACAGACTCCATCGTCCCAGTCCACAGGTTCCCCCACCCCTATGTCCCTTGCCTCCTTTCTCTCATACCCCACACTGCCAAGGACTCCAGAAGGTCTTCTTCCTCTTTTTTTTTTTTTTAACATTTAAGATTTTTTTTTTTTTAAGATTTATTTATTCATGAGAGACACAGAGAGAGAGGGAGAAGCAGGCTCCACGCAGGGAGCCCGACGTGGGACTCGATCCCAGGTCTCCAGGATCACACTTTGGGCTGCAGGCGGCGCTAAACCGCTGAGCCACCCGGGCTGCCAGTCCGGAAGGTCTTCTTAACCCTATGTTCCTCCTGGCCTTGGTGTCTTTTTTTTTTTTTTTTTTTTTTTGGCCTTGGTGTCTTGAACCTGATTTACCCCTGTTTCTAGGTGTCTGGTCTCTACTGCCTGGGTCCTTTTTATGAGGTGAGGGCCGGGAGACTGAGAAACTGGCCAGAGTATACTTTGGCTCCAGCTTCTTTGTATCCCATGCTTGTGCCAAAGTTGTGGAGAACAGGATACAGGAGAGGCTACTTCTGGGCTGAAAGCTTCCCAGCTTGCTCTGCATTTGACCTGGCACTGGATAAGGTGGAGATAGAGGAGGATGGTAAAAGCTGGCCTGACTTGGTTGTGTGACCTCTTTCATAGTCCTTAGCAGTTAGCTGCTTAACTCTTACCCAGAAGTACAAGAACTGTTTGGCCTGTGCTAATCCTGTCAAGTAATCTATAGGGAAATCAGATAATTTGTTTACTTGGTGAGCAGACTAATCTTGGAAAGTTTAATGTATTGCTTGTGAACTGAGTACCCTGGAATAAAATGGAATTTTGGCCACATCCAAGGAAGGTATGTTTACATTTGGGGTGGTACAGAGACCTATGCCTTTTTGTATGCTTCTCCAATTTAAAAACTAGTCTAGTCTGACTCCTAAATTAATATGGGCCCTCTTTCTGCCTCATAATTTCAAACTTGTTTGATACAAATCCTCCCCCAAACACACCCCAATTTTCCTTTCACTAATTTGACAAACATTCATTGATACCTGCTCAGTTCCCAGGTTGGCTGGGCATCCGAGCTACAGAGATGAGGAAGATACTGTCCTTGTCCTGAAGGGATTTATAGTTCTAGTCCAGGAAGCAGACACCAAAACAGTTTCAGCTTAAATGGGTGCAGTGAAGAAGATTGTATAAGAATTGGTTGTGCACAAAGAGAGAGTGACCTTTGTCCTTGAGGGATAAGAAGGGATCGCTTGATCTTGAAGCAGAGAACACAGCAGCTGTGCTCTAAAAAGTGAATTGCTTATGTGTCTATGAATGTACAGTGTCACTTAGGACCCAGCTCATTTTTCCTACTCTCCTCACTTTCCAATAATTATATGAGGCCTAAGTAGATACCTGTAACCCCAAGTTCTGCTCATCTTTGTTTTGTTTTGTTTTTCTCTTAGCAACTTTTTTTTTTTTTAACATTTATTTATTTATGAGAGAGAGAGAGACAGAGAGGGAGAAGCAAGGGAACCCTGGGTGGCGCAGCGGTTTAGCGCCTGCCTTTGGCCCGGGGCGCGATCCTGGAGACCCGGGATCGAATCCCACGTCGGGCTCCCGGTGCATGGAGCCTGCTTCTCCCTCTGCCTATGTCTCTGCCTCTCTCTCTCTCTCTCTCTGAGTGACTATCATAAATGAATTAAAAAAAAAAAAAGAGAGAGAGGGAGAAGCAGGCTCCATGCCGGGAGCCCGACGTGGGACTCGATCCCAGGACTCCAGGATCGCGCCCTGGGCCAAAGGCAGGCGCCAAACCCATGAGCCACCCAGGGATCCCCTCTCTTAGCAACTTTTATTGATAATTTATATACCATAAAATTCACCCATTGTAACTGCACAATGCAATGATTTTTTAAGTAAAAGTACAGAATTGCATTTTAGAATATTTCCATCACTCCAGTTAATTCCTTTGTGCTTCTTTACATTAAACCTCCACTCTTACCTTCTGCCCTAGGCAACCACTGTCCTCTATAAATTTACCTATTCTGAACATTTCATATAAACAAAATCATACAATATGTAGCCTTTTGCATTTGGCTTTTCAACATGTTTTTGAGGTTCAGCCAAGTCATACTGTGTATTAGTACTTAATTACTTTTTGTTGCTAAATAGAATCTCCATTGTATAGATCTTGCTTTTTTATTTATTTTTATTTTTATTTTTTTTTAATTTTTATTTTTTTTAATTTTTATTTATTTATGATAGTCACACAGAGAGAGAGAGAGAGAGGCAGAGACACAGGCAGAGAGAGAAGCAGGCTCCATGCACCGGGAGCCCGACGTGGGATTCGATCCCGGGTCTCCAGGATCGCGCCCTGGGCCAAAGGCAGGCGCCAAACTGCTGTGCCACCCAGGGATCCCAATCTTGCTTTTTTAAATTTTTTTTAAAGATTTTATTTATTTATTCATGAAAGAGAGAAAGAGAAAGGCAGAGACGTAGGCAGAGGGAGAAGCAGACTCCAGGCAGGGAGCCTGATGTGGGACTCGATCCTGAGACCGCGGATCACGCCATGAGCCAAGGGCAGGTGCTCAACCGCTGAGCCACCCAGGTGTCCCTTAAATTTTTTTTTAATGATTTTATTTATTTATTCATCAGAGACAGAGAGAGAGAGGCAGAGACACAGGCAGAGGGAGAAACAGGCTCCATGCAGGGAGCCTGATGTGGGACTCGATCCTGGGACCCCAGGATCATGCCCTGGACTGAAGGCGGCGCTAAACCGCTGAGCCACCTGGGCTGCCCTAGATCTTGCTTTTTTATTCTTTGACAGTCTCTGTCTTTTGAGTGGGCTCTTTAGACTATTCACATTTAATTTCATTATTGATATGGCTAGATTTACATTTTCTACTTTGCTATTTATCTCCTTTACATTTTGTTCTTCCCTTTCTCCTTTACTGACTTCTTTTAAGTATTTTTTAGTGGACCATTTTAATTTCTGTTAATATTTTTTATACTTTTTTTTTAATTTTTAATTTTATTTTCTTAGTACTCAAGGGACTACAGGATGCATCTTAACTCATCACAGTCTACTTCAAATTAATACTAACTTAATTCTGATAAAATATAAAAACATTCTTCTAATAGTGATCCATTCCTCCCCCTCCTTTGTACTATTATTGTCATATATATTACATTGATATATGTTATAAGCCTAATTATTCAGTGTCATAATTATTGATTTATACAATATGTCCTTTTTTTTTTTTTTTTTAAGATTTTACTTATTTATTCGTAAGAGAAACAGAGAGAGAGGCAGAGACACAGGCAAAGGAAGAAGCAGAAGCAGGCTCCATGCAGGAAGCCTGACATGGGACTCCATCCCAGGTCTCCAGGATCACACCCTGGGCTGAAGGCGGCGCTAAACTGCTGAGCCACCCAGGCCACCCAATATGTCCTTTTTAAAAAGATTTATTTATTTGTTTGTTTGTTTGTTTAGAGGTGCAGGCAATGGGGAGGGGCAGAGGGAGATGAGGAGAGAATCTCAAGCAGACTCCACTGCTGAGTATGGAGTTATATGCAAGTCTCACTGTCACAACCCTGAGCTCACAACCTAACCCAAAACCGAGATCAGATGCCCAACTGACTGTGCCACCCAGGCACCCCTATACAATATGTCTTTTAAAGAAGTTAAGAGAAGTAATTAGGAAAACAATATTTATAATATCTTTTATATTAACCCACATATTTACCATTTCTGATGTTCTTTTTTTCATCCTCTGGATTCAGGTTATACTTACTACCACTTCCTTTTGGCCAAAAGGGCTTCCTTTACTATTTCTTGCAAACCAAACCTGCTAGCAGTGAATTCTCTCAGTCTTTATCTGGGAATGTCTTTATTTTGCTTTTAGTCTTAATAATTTTTTAAAATAATATCTTTTTGTCATCTCATGGGTTGTGAGATTGAGCCCCATGTCGGGATCCACATTCAGTAGGGAGTCTGCTTGAGGATTCTCTCTCTCTGCCCCTCCACCTGCTTGTGCTGTCTCTCTAAAATAAATAAATAAATAAATAAATAAATAAATAAATAAATAAATCGCCTTTTTTTTTTTTTTTTTTTTAAGAAAGATAAAGACAGGAACTCTTTAAAGTAACAAGAGAGTGGGATGCCTGGGTGGCTCAGCAGTTGAGCATCTGCCTTTGGCTCAGGGCATGATCCTGGAGTCCTGGGATCAAGTCCCATATCCAGCGCCCTGCATGGAGCCTGCTTCTGCCTTTGCCTGTGTCTCTGCCTCTCTCTCTGTGTCTCTCATGAATAAATAAATAAAATCTTAAAAAAAAATAAAGTAGCAAGAGAAAAATGACTCATCATGTATAGAGAAATAATTTGATTAATGACTTAACTTCTCATCTGTAACAATGAAGGCCAGAGGGCAGTGGAAGAACATATCCAAAATAGTGAGAAGATCAAAACTGTCAACCAACCACTCCATGTCCAGCAAAACTATCCTTCAAATATTATTCTAAATGACAGAAGCTAGTCACAAAAGGCCACATATTATACAATTCAATTTATACAAAACATCCAGAATAGGCACATCTA